CCTGCTGATGTTTAATATTGACTCCCCAATTCAGTCCGCAGTACGAATATAATACTGTGCCATACTTTACTCGCACAATTGACTCGCGTGCCCGAAGCCGAAGCATGCAGGAAAATTTCAGTTTACCATTGAGGCTGAGAATGAGGCTGACCCATCGACCCACGATTCGAATGATAAACTTCCGGTGACAATCTCATTTTTCCTTTTTCTTCCTCGCTGGGCTTGGCGAGTGGGAAATCACAGATTCACAGTTGAACCTCGGCATGGCGCTGGAGGTGGTGTCACGCTCGCCATCAAGAACCCACAGGTTGTGACCTGAGAGAAACAAACTTATGTAAACGTTCCTACTTGTATCTTGTAATGGGTAAATTTATCATATGATATCTGAATATACAAGTACGTCCGATTACTGCGCAACCGCCCAACCAGTGAGAAAGAAGGAAACCCCGTATGATATCATTTCTACAGTGGATACCTTGTTCCAGATACAAGCACCGTGCCCCCCCCCGGGAAAGCGTACCGGTGCTGCCAGGACATCCCAGCATTATAAATGAAGGTTCGGTAAAGAGATGATTGGGAAGAGTAGTGCAAAAGTGCACTCCGTAGATACTTCGCACGGCACGGTAGGCCATTTTTGAGTATCATAAGTGATCCTTATGGCATACCAATGACCCCAAGGGTATGATAATTGCTGGGTATCATACTGCACTCGAGTACGCGTGCTCGTGCAGGTCTGTGGCGTGATGTAATCGTATTTTCACCCTCACCTTCAACAACTTCCTCTCGCCCCCCCCCCTTCCTCCATCCCTTGACAGCACAACTACGGTGGTAGCTCTTGGAGGATATACAGCTATACACTTGAACGACACATGAAAAGCGGGATAGAGAGCAAGGAAAGGAAAACAAAAACAAAAACGTGAAAAGGAAGGGGAAAAAGTGGACAAGGAAATGGCGGCAATAACTGGCAGAGGTTTCAGTTTTTATTTTTTTTGAGGAAAAAAAAAAAGGTTCTATCTGACATTCCCCCGCTCTCCACAACAGAACAGATACCAGTATTTTCCCCATGGCTCCCCCCGGTTTCCCATAGCAACAATCTATTTTAGGTTTGAAGAATTTTTGTTCGAGGGAGGGGGATTTATGCCTTCGGTGGATTGTAGATCTAGGTTTTCGTGTCAGTGGTGTAATGGTGAAATGCGGAGAAATGGATAGAGGATACCAATTTTCTCGCCTTGATTGGAGCCCACTTGTACTTTTTCACCCAGATACTGAGCGCCGTAAGAACGGTGGTGATGATGATGACCTTCATGCCCATCTTCTTCCTGTCGTCCATTTCCGGCTCGGCGGCCCAATTCAAGAACTCGACAACATCCTTGGCCATCTGGGAGGTAGTGGCCGGGGTTCCATCCTCGTACTCTACCAAGCCATCGTACAGGACTCTTGCCATGGCAATTCCTAAATACAAGTTGGCATCCCCACAAACCTGTTAAACACATAAGGGGAGGGGGAACACCCACCAGTTCCTGGGAAGTAAGGGTTAAAGTTCAACCCCTCCGGAACTACAGCCCCAGCTGGAGGCTCGTCCGGGTATCCTGTGAGTAGTGCAAATATGTAATCGCAACCGCCATGTCTGGCCTTTACCATGAGAGACAAATCGGGAGGATACGCTCCCTGGTTAGCAGCACGTGCAGCCTGCTCATTGGGATATGGGTCGGGGATGTAATCTGAGAGCTTCCCCGAACGCTTCACAATTTCCCCAATGTCGTTGGGCTCGTCATCGTATTCGTTCTCCTCAGCCATGGCCTTGACTTCGTCGACGGTGTGTGAAACTCCAACGAGAGCGCGCCACGGAACGCGGGAGAGGGAATGGCAGGAAGCGCATACTTCGCGGTAGACTTGGAAGCCACGGCGAAGGCTGTGCATATTCATCAACAATTGTCCCACGAGTGCTATGGAAGAGATGAGACACGAACGCTTGGTGGTCAAAAGTCTTTAACCATCCTTGATGCTCCCATGGATAATGCGCCGGGTGTAACCTGGCCCATCACCGTCAGCATCCAGTTCCCATCTCCTAGGTCCCAAAAATCAAAAGTTATTTATTATAACATACCCCTCCTCAGCCATGGTCATAGCATGTACCTCTGAAAAGCCGAACCCATATTGCTGATAGTATAGTCCAATACTTCCGATCGCAGCAACCGTAGACACAGTGCCGGCGATGTTCAATCTCCTATCGCTCTTTGCCGCATTGCCTGTGTTTGTCGATGTAGTTCTCTGTGGAAACAGTGCTCTATTAGATACTGGTGATGGCGCGAAGGTGGGGTGGAAAAAAGTAAAGGAGGGGGAACGGAGAACTACCCTGGTTGACTGTCTCACCACAGTCTTGAGCACCGTTCCTGAACGAAGGCATGACCGAGCGAGCATTGTATGTCCAGATCACGTGTGATTGGCGAGCGGTATTGGAGGGAGGAGAGGTGAGGTGACGATGGATTCGAGTGGTCAAGGCTCGATGGCGAGGGCGAAGTTCTCAGAGTTGGAGGTAGGAGGAAAAGACGGGATGTTTCAAATTTCCTCCCTTCCGATCGGGATATGCTGGCCTTCTGATTGGCTGAGGTTTTGAACAATACCTTTGTTTCACAACAAACTATCATAACCTGGAACTTCGCGAAAAGCAAGGCACTCTTTTTGCACTAAGAACCACGATCTGGACAGCGATTTTCTCCTTTTTTTTTTTTTTTTTTTTTTTTGAAAGAATTCCAAGTAGAAAACATGAATTTTTGCTAACAGAGTTCGCCGATGTGAAGGTTGCTTATCTAATTGTCTAAACTTAACTGCCAAGGAAACTTCTGCCCCTCCAAGTAAATTTACCAACAAAGAGCCTGAACACATTACAGAAGATAACACGGGGTAGGGATTTCAGAAACGAAACTGCCTAACTTTTTTGCAAAATATATAGCAGCTAAGGGAAGTTATGAGCACCCAAAGGAACAGGACACAAAAGATCAAATCCCTAAAGTCCATCCACCGGATCGAGACGGGGCCGGCTCTCAGCGACATTGACGCCTGGTTCCCCACTCAATAGCTCTCTCCTAGCCTTGACGGCATCCGCAAGCATCTCCAAGACGCCTTCGGTATCCTCGAAATTGATGCAGGCGTCTGTAATACTAACACCGTATTTGAGACCTGCCTTTCCTTCCTCCGGCACCTTCTGATTACCGGCTTTAATGTGAGACTCAATCATGACACCCATGATACAGTCCTCCCCGTTACGGAGTTGCTCTGCAACCGAAGCAGCAACCTTAGGCTGGTTGAGATGGTTCTTCTCAGAGTTTCCTGGAGCAAAATCAGCACCTCGCAATGAGCAGGAACACATGAGTGCGAATTTACCGTGAGAGCAATCAACCATAAGCTTGTCCTGGGTCCCCTTCGCACGAAGCCTCTCCTTGGAATCCTTGATACTTGCTGCATCATAGTTTGTTCCCTTCTTCCCGCCACGGAGAATAACAAAGCAATCCTCATTGCCCATTGTAGCCACAATTGCAACGACACCGGGCTTGGTGACCGACAGAAAGTGGTGAGAGCCCTTGGCGCTACACAGATATAAAAATCAGGTTTAGTCAATCACGCGAAGGAAGGGTAGAGCTTACGCTCCAATCGCATCAATTGCGATATCTAGGCTTCCATCGGTTCCATTCTTGAAGCCAACAGGGAAACTCAAACCGCTCGCCAACTCTCTATGCAACTGACTTTCAGTAGTCCTCGCACCAATAGCACCAACACTCAGCATATCCGCAAGGAATTGTGGAGAAATAGTATCGAGCATCTCACTAGCGAGTGGCATCCCAAGCTCGGTGAGGTCAATGAACAATTGCCTACTAATCCTAAGCCCCCTGTTGATCTGGAAAGACCCATCAATGTCCGGGTCATTGATGAGTCCCTTCCACCCGACGGTAGTGCGCGGTTTTTCGAGGTAGGCGCGCATCACAATGAGAAGCTCGTTCTGGTACTTCTCCTTGAGGAGGAGAAGGCGACGGGCGTACTCGAGGGCAGCATTGGGGTCGTGAATGGAGCATGGGCCAACAACGACGAGGAGACGATTTTGCGGATCTCTGGAATGGAGGATCGCAACAGTCTCTTCTCGAGCCTTCAATACAGTTGCTTTTGAATTGCTGGTCTGTTGGAGCTCATGTTGGAGTAGGTCTGGTGGAGTCAATGGATTGTATCCCCGAATACGCCAATCTTCCGAATTAGTCCTATCCCCGACATTCTTATTCTCGATATAATAGTTCTGTTTTTTAATGATTGAAGGAGTCTCGTTAGCTGGAAAGTGGCTGTAAGGCGAGGCTGAAGAATGCCCATGAGTATAATAGCGCCCAGGCATCACGGTAGAGGTAATTGTATTGGAATATGGAAACTTGTGTGGAAAGGGGGAGAATGGAGAGTGGGGGAGAGAGGAGAGAAAGAGAGAGAGAGGAGAGAAAGAAATAAGTTAACTTACCGCCATTGCGCGAATTGGTGGGCTGAACAAGTTGCGGTGATCGATATTAGGTCACTATGAAAGGCTTTTCTTCAGAAATGTTTTCGTACCGTAGTTGCCGTGAAGAAAACTTCAGGAAAAGTTTGGATAGGGGACGAAGTAGAAGAAAGGGTGAAAAAAAAAACAAAAAAACAGTCAGACGCAGGTGTGTCAGAAGTTGCCCCTCCACCACCACAATCTATGGTAACGTTAAGCTTGGCGATCAGCCAAGCCAAAATTGCACTCATGTTCCTGCGCTAAGAGAAGTATTGGCGCCCGATTTGGAATAGCTACAGCGGACAAAACCTAGGGGGCAGTTGTTGGAACCCAAAAGGCTGTCCCACAAGGTATGGAGGTATCATACTCGAGTACTATACGAACTGGTATCCGGCGAGAGTGATATCATATATAGGACAACAACTCCCACGTTATATTACCCGTGACTTAGTAGCAGTCAGTGTGTGCAAGAGGCATTACCGGTATTATGCGCTGAGTGGGAAGTGTGTATGCTTAAAGCGTTTATGCATGAAATGAAACTTTCAAAAACCTAGACTATGGCAAGCCGCAGTCCCGTGGAGGTGGTATATATCATATATGGTTTGACGCACCGAGTCCCCGGGCCCGAGAAAATTCCTCATCGGGGCTCATTCATGATATGATACCTCTTTGGCGGGCCCGTCTACGCAGTTCTCTCTCTCTCTCTCTCTCTCTTAGGAACAGCTTCAGCAGTATTTATTACGGGTCCGCGGCGGCTACTATTCTAAAACGGGGTGCTAATTACTTACTGGTATCATACCGTACTTGGGGCGGATACGAGTATCATTATCATAACTTGGTACTCGGTAAGTTCGACCGTTAGGCTCAGGCACGTACTCGAGTAGATGTCAAAGTTTATATCAACTCAACCACAGGTGTGATACCGTGCTTATCTTGTAACCACAAAACCTCCACAGTCTAACGATACTAGTGATAGCGTTGTTGGGTGAAAAATTTCTGTTTTAATGTGAGGATCAGGAATCGAGCTGTCATGATGAGCCCGGGTATGATATGATTTATTGATCTAAGAGATAGGTAAAGAGAAAAAAAAAACCCCTAACCCCTTACAAAATCACATGCTTGAAAGGCTTCCGAAAGGTTCTAGCGACATTGCGACGGCAACGGCGCTGCTGTGACTTTCAGCAACTGGTACTCTGCCTGCGCCGAAAAATAAATATCCCAGTCTAATGCGCTGACATTTTCATCTTAATATTTGGGTAGCCTTCGGTGGATTGGTGGTTTTCCTGACATCTGACATGTGCTACGATCACAGATAAAGTATCATACTCGCGCAGGTACCTGTACATAGCTTGGCTTTTATCCGTCCCAATTAGTAGTGCTACTGTGACTTTTGTTGTGCAGGTTATGCCAACTTAGGATGCCGGTCACTACTGTTGCTCCTGATGGTGCTTGTACAGTACGAGTACAGTACAGTACTGCACCACTTGTATTTTGCGATTTCAGCACTTTCAAAAACCGACGGTGACCAGATGCCCCTTAAAAGTAATGAAAAATTGACAGCTGCCCCATCGTGACAGTTGATCCATCTCGGACACTTCTAATTCAGAGCACAGATTCTCATTCGGAAATTAACTCCAAGAAGTCAAGTTTCCATTGGCACTACTCGAGTACAAGGGTGTATAACTTAGTAGTAAGTCGGGAAAGACTAGGTTACCGGGAAATGGCATATGTGTTATGGAAACCTTCGCCTTATTGTTCGCCCAGGATGGGGCCGGCTTCATCTCGGTCAACAAAGGAAAAAGGGAAAAAAAATACTGTGTGCTATGGCATCATAGCGAGAGGAATTTTTTTATTAAGGCTAAACCTTTAAAAACACCCGTACACGCCTGAAAGGATTGGCACTTGCTTCTAGTTCACAGAATACCCGATAGCGGTTTCTATAGAATTCAGGCGACTTGTCTCGCTTTCGCGAGACATCCGTGCACCCAAGACAGAAAGCCATACAGGCCGTTTGCCCCGTCCCCATTCCCAATACCTAATCTTCTCCATTTGAGCGGTCAATAACTAGTTTCCCATTCTCAGTAGCTGTCATTTTCAGGGAGTCTTTCAGGTTAGCAGTTGTATCAGTCTTCTTAAGCTGATAAACGTGCACCCTCCCACTTGCAGAAAAGGCATAAATTGCCAGAGCAACTCCACTATGCACAGCGAGGTCGACTAGCCTAGGTATTGTATCGATATAGTAACCGGTTATCCCCACAGGTTCATGGGCCTTTGTGATATCGGGGTCGGTGGACTGATTTAGGACAGAGGGTTGGTCACCAGAGGTGTCTGCCTCAAACGGCTTGTAGAAGGTATCCGGCGGAACCGAAAACAGTACAATGTGATCACTGTATCCTGCCACAACTCTCACACCATGCTTAACGATGGCCCCTGAAGCGTATATGCTTGGACGTATGGCGTTCTTGATCTTTCGGCTACGGGGGGCCCTTGAACTTTCATCAGTACTATGTTCCCCCCCACCTTCGGTTATCGCCCCTACGACGCTTTCCGGTGGGATTAGCCAGATCTTCCGCAGGAGCTTCGTGGGTCCACTAGTACTGGGCAATCCCCTATCAGCATGAGTACCTCAGATATCGGGCCCTCCCCTGTAATTGCCGCCTCGTGAGAAACAAAGGTAGTAGAATCATACCCCAGTGGCGCATCACTGCCCAGACATAACCCCCCACGTTCAGGATCAATGAATAGTATATGAGATCCATCGCTTAACGGGACAGCTTGGAAATGGTCGCTTTGGCCAGCCCTAGGCTCCCAAGTATCTGAAAAGGCAAGGAAGTCTGGGCCAACACCGAAGCGTCTGGTAAAGGGGCTCGCATCTTTGGGGTGGACAGCACTTGATATAAGACGCAGCTTCTTGGCAGAATCTATGCCGCGCCGGGGAGGAAGAAAGTATAAAAAATCCGAAGGGGCTGTCAATGGGAACCACCGGTTGAGGTCTTGCCCCGTCAATGCATCAACCCCTACGAAGGAAAATTCGTCAGTCATGATCAACCGCGCACATTGTCCGTTTTGTTGAACAATGCAAGCAATCCTATGGCAGTGAGAGAGAACTTTGAAATCTTAGATTCCGTTGCCGACTAGCGAACATACTATAGTGAAGGTTAAGGAGATACTCACAATGCAGCTCTATTCCGCCACGGCACCCGAAGGCAACGCATCGTCTCTGTGGACAGATGGCGACACTCCTCGGTAGGTCCTCTTCACTGCATATATTTCGATAAGTACTCTTAACTTCCTGCTCCACCACGTCGTGAACTACTCCCATGCGTCCTTCCTTTTAATCGATAATTTCATTAGTAAGCATTTAGCTGGGTCAGGAAAGTGGGTAGGGAATGTACGAGCAATATAGCTATGGCAAATCTTTGGCTACTTGTGTCCATGCTAACAGCTAGCACTCTCCGCGGGCAAACGACCGTGGTAGCGTATTCCATCCACCTCTCCGGCGTAGACCCCAAGCGATAAACATAAACCACACATCCCTCACTCAATAAAGCGTAGGAGCCACATATGGAAACTGTGAAATTAACGGTATTGGCGGTAACCAGTTCTGAAAAGTCAAGGATTGCGGTATTGCGAAGACCACCGCCCCCAGAGTTACCAGGGCTCAACGAGCACTCGCGGGATAGCCGGGTGGCAAGGTAATGGGCATTTTGGGAACTCCTCACTGAAGCCTCAGCATTGTGGAAGCCAAGTCCTTCAAGATGCTGTTTGAGAAGAAATGGCTCCAGAGCAGAGAAGTACCACGCCCTGCATACATGCCTGGATATATTGAAGGAAAGAGGTGATGTAAAGCCGAAAATTTCTTGTATCAGTTCGACTGGGAGTTGATATACCGAAGGGAGCTTGAGTAATTTGTGCTCTACGCATACATCATTCCATGACTTGCATGTTAACCTAGCAGAGAGCAGTGAACGGTGGTCCAGGAATGAAAGTATGCGAACAAAGGTTTCATCCGGAAGCCTGAGGCAATTGCCGATAATTGGTTCGGCCTGTCTTAAGGTTAAAGAGCACCTGGTCGGACCCCGAGGAGAAGATGTATCATCGGCTGGAGAAACCTCGTCGGAGTTGGGGGAGCCAAAGACGGAGCGGTAGGAGCTCCCCTGACTCCCAAAACTGCTGCTGCTGCTCTCATGAGCATGTAGGAGGCATTTATGCTCTTTGGCCCAGTCAACAATGCCACGGTAATCATTTGGAATATGAATTGGATCGTTACTAGTTGACTGGCTCCTCCGAGATTCTGTCGTGGGGGGATTAGCATCCACGAACAAACAATTTCTCCCCAATGGAACGGATTCCTTGTTGTAAGGATTGGAGAGGGTAGAATTCAATCTAATTTCTTGGGCCATAGTGTGGATAGGAGAACTCTTGCTACTTGAGTGAAAAATTCAGAGTGCAGGTGGTGTCGAGATGTTGACGGGGACTGGATCGGGTCGGGAGAGTAAAATTTCAGAGGAAGCCAGTCTGAACAGTGGGGTGTGGGGTCTAGAGTGCTGCACAGTACAGTGGATAGACCACTGAAGGGAGTAAGAATAAGACTTGTTGTGAAGGTGCTTGAGCGATGTGGGGGGAAACTGGGTGGATGGGAGAGAAAGGTACCGAAAGGGGGGGGACGCGAAGGGTGAGGGGTCTACATGAGATAGGGGAAGCCGCGCAGCCTTATAGGGCACATACAGTCAGTTGAGAATTGCACTACATCTGGTCAGGAACACAATTGGCGTGTGTCTTTAGATCAGGCGGGGATGAAAGATTTTCTCCTCCACGCTTAGGCCAGTTTCCCAGCGGATGTACTCTGGGATCGGTGGATCGTCGGGAGAAAAAAAGCTTCGACCACTCAGCCTCCAGTCTCAACAGTCACAAGGTTTAACTCAACTTCACATTCTGACTACAGTAGGAAAGTTGGAGATTGGACGTCAAGGATGTTTTGGGGGTTGGGACATGCCGGTACGGACATCGGAAGATAGCTAGTCTGGAGAATTTTACAAAGAGAAATGCTGGATCGTTACTGTGCAGTATGATACTTGAGTGCTCGGTAGAGTACTACACCCGTACTTGCTGCTCGAACAGCACTCGCCCCGAGAGCAATTGAGTACAATATGATACCGATATCATACTGCGCCCGAGCATTCAGGACATGATTTTGCATAACAATGGCGTTGGCCGGGATTGGACTAGACGTCGACTTTCAGAGGTCACACAATTGAAGTGGCTGCGCAGAGCCTCCCCTCAAGTTACCCTTGCTTGTCTCACTCGAATTTACCCCTCCAAAAAAATACTCGGGTGGTACTGTACAGCACAAGTATCGACCAATTCTAACATCCCAGCAGTGACTCTAAGGACTGCGAGAAACGAGAAAAAGAGGTCTTCGGGGGGTTGGAGAGATCTTAATAATACCATTAGACAGATCCCGTAGTTTTTTATTTCACGTTTACTGTACAGTACTCGTACTGTAGCCTGTTGCCGGTGGGTGTCCGGTTGCAGCCCGCCGGACATTTAATCTCATCCCGAGCACATCCTCCTCTTGATTCACACACAACTTGCGATAACTTATCCCAACTGATATGTTAAGTTACGCGACCACGTTTGACTCATCTGGCATCCTCTCCATCTTGTCCTCCTCTCTCCTCTCCCCTCTCTCCTTCCCCCTCTATTTCTCCCCCCCGCCTGTCCCACTCTCTCTATCTGCACGTATGTTATCGCAAAATGCGCTTCATACTACGGGTATGACATGTACAGTACAGAACTGTTATTTCCTCTGCCCGATCTTCTGTTGCACCGGCACTATACATACTCGTGTCTGATCCCCTCTAGCTTTGTGTTTCCAGCCCCTCATCCACTTCGAAACTCCCTATCCATTTTTTCCTAGGCTAATTCGTGCCCGCATCGTTAGCATCACAGGCGATGCGAATGTAGAAACTCGATCCTCGCTATACTTCTACCTTTGGTTGTTCCCGTCCAGCCGGGAGAGTCAACCAGTTATTGATCCCCCCTCCCAGTTTGCTCAATACTCGAGTAGTAGGATATGATGTTTATCCCTCACCACCCCTCATCCGAATTGCCACTCCCGTACCCTTCACCCTCACCCCTTCGGACTTTGTGTGTTTAATGTAGAGTAGTCTTTTGGTTGGCTGTGTGCCCGCTTCGTGTGTTCGAGCCTTCGAATCTATTTCATTTATCTATCCCCTCTGTCCTCCATCCATCTCTGCCATTGCCCCCACTCACCCTCGCCCTCGCCCCCTCTTCCATCAATATACCCACCTCCCATCTCGGCCCTTGGTCCATTCTCCTTGCCCCCCTTTCAGTCCGCCTGCCTCACACCCCTATACCATGATGGCACCTCCCCTTGTTTACCTGCTTTCTCTCACCGACACTGGTGCCCCTGATATTGCTGGCGATCATATCAGTCTTCCTCCCCCACTGGAGCCTTACACTTTGAGAATTGCTATTGAAGGTGCGAGCCCCATAACTCGCAATGGGAGTCTGTGGACCAATGTCCCCGTCAGGGGTGAAAAGTTTGAAAGAAAGAAATTTAGAGAATTCAAGTTTGTTTACCATTTTGTTTCGTTTTCGCACAACTCACCATTGCCCCTTTCCCCATATGTGGTTGCTGGAGTGATTGTGTGAGATTTTTTTTCACCCTGACAGCTCTTCGAGGACCGGTTAACTACCAACACCGAAATAGGTGAATTGATATTTACGTGCTCTGCAATTGATACTAATGCTCGGCCAATCATTGCAGACTCCAACCCTTCTTTTCTCGAACCCTTCACATTGATATGCCCATTGCTTTACCGGGTACCTTTTGCTATTACATCACCTATAATCCTCTCCCATCTCTGAAGGAACGATCGGAACCAACGAAGCCATCCGGGGCTGCGAAAACCGGCACTCACTGGTTTACCGTTGCTGCACGCCTCTCCGTAAACAGTGAACCTCTGGCTCTCGACTCCCTATCCTGCTTCTCGGTAGTCTCGAAATGGCTCGGCCCTGTTGAGAAATGGGATGGGTACATGAAATATATCGCTGAAAAGGGGTATAACATGGTTCATTTTACTCCAATGATGCACCGTGGGGAATCAAATTCGCCGTACAGTATATATGATCAGCTTGCATTCGATCCGGAAGCATTCCCGAACGGTACCGAGGACGTAGTTTCGATTGTTGATCAGATGGAGAAGCGGCATGGCCTGCTCAGCCTGACTGATGTCGTCTGGAATCACACCGCTCATAATTCTCTTTGGCTGCAGAGCCATCCGGAAGCTGGTTACAATTTGGTCACTGCCCCTTGGCTCGAAGCGGCGTACGAACTTGACACCGCTCTGTTGGAATTTGGTAATCACCTTGAAGCGTTGGGGTTTCCTGCAGAACTTGAGACAAAGGGGGATCTACTGAAGCTTATGGACGGTGTGAAAACTCATGTTATCGGGGCGCTTAGGCTTTGGGAATTCTACGTTGTCAATGTGGAGGCCGCCACGGATGCTGTCATTGAGGCATACATTTTGGGGAGGAGCGGTTCAAAGCGTATTGATACGGCTGAATACAGGTCGGGGTTGTCCTTGTACGACAAAGCGCAGTTTCTTATCAAAAATGGGCTCAAGGGAGCGGATTCACTTGGGTCGCGTTACAGCCGGACAATTGACCCCGAGATAGGTGCGGCTTTCCTCACTTTGGAATGCGGTAAACCGGACCCCAAAAATGTGGAGCAGGTTGAGGAAGCGAAGAAGGCCCTTGTCAAAGTTCTTGACGAGATCAATCTTCCCTTCTACAAGGAATACGACCTCGATTGTTCCGAGATCCTAGAACAGATCTACAATCGCATCACTTACCTCCGACTAGACTCTAACGGCCCCAAGATGGGCAAGATAACCAGGGAGAGCCCAATCATCGAAACTTACTTTACCCGACTACCAAAGAACGAGATAACCGCGAAGCACGACCCCAAGAGTCTGGCACTGGCCAACAATGGGTGGATTTGGAGCAACGTTGCGGACTTTGCTGGCCCGAAATCACGATCTTACCTGCGAAGAGAAGTCATTGTGTGGGGCGACTGTGTGAAGTTAAGGTTTGGTGATAAGCCGGAAGACAATCCGTTCTTATGGCAGTTTATGGTTGACTATACTAAACTTATGGCACGGTGTTTCCATGGTTTCCGTATCGATAACTGTCATTCTACTCCCATCCACGTCGGTCAATACCTTCTCGATGTCGCGAGAGAGGTGCGGGAAGACCTATACGTTGTCGCCGAGCTTTTCACCGGGAGTGAATACGAGGATAGGCGATTTGTTGAGCACCTAGGGCTCGGGAGTCTTGTTCGTGAAGCAATGGTTGCATGGGGTCCGGGGGAACTCTCAAGGCTTGTGCATAGACATGGTGGAAAGCCAATCGGAAGCTTTAGGCAGGAGCTTGTGGTCAGAGGTAGCACCGTTTCCGATGCACCCTCTAACAAGTTGAAAGTCAATGGGGCGAGTGATAGCAGAGAAGTGATCAAAGCTGTTACGGCGAGTCCGATTCACGCCCTTTTCATGGACTGCACTCACGATAATGAAACACCCACCCAGAAGAGAACTCCTCAGGACACGCTTCCGAACGGTGCTTTGGTTGCAATGTGCGACTGCGGTATTGGTTCTGTGATGGGTTATGACGAGATTTATCCGAAGTTACTCAATCTAGTCACAGAGCCAAGAATATATTATCCACCACCGGAAAAAATTGATGAAACAACTCCCGGTATTGGTAAAGTCAAGAGTCTTCTCAATCGAATCCACACCGAGATGGGGAAAGATGGGTTCACGGAGATGCATGTTCATCACGAGGGAGAATATGTCACGGTCCACAGAGTACATCCTAAGAGTCACAAGGGCTACTTTTTAATTGCGCATACCGCGTTTGGCCCCGGAGATCACAGAGGCGACTTTAACCCGATCACTGTTACGGGAACTAAAGCTAAGGTTATTGGAAGCTGGACTTTAGTGGCGGATGGCAGCGAAGAAGGGAAGGTGAAAGTTCTCAACCATCCCGACTATCTTACCGGATTACCAGCCAAGCTTGCGGAGGTGGGGAGCCCGAAGATTGAGGGCAACGGAAATACAACCACAATTACCGTACCAGAAAATTTCCCACCCGGGAGTATCGCTTTGCTCGAAACCTGGATTCCCGGAACCGATGGAGAATCGTTGGCTCGGTTTGTCACCAGCGGTGCTGAGGAGGCATTTGCCAACACAAGCTTGGTGGACTTGAACTTTGTACTCTATCGCTGTGAGTCGGAGGAAAAGGATTCAAGCGATAACCAAGATGGATGCTACAATATCCCTGGATACGGAGCTTTGGTCTACGCAGGACTTCAGGGGTGGTGGTCGGTGTTGAAGGAAGTTATCCGGAACAATGATCTTGCACATCCTATTTGTCAACATCTTAGAGACGGCCAATGGGCACTCGACTACATTGTGGGTAGGTTGGAAAAACTTGAAGCTCGCGGTAACAAGGGTCTTGCGGGACCGGCGAAGTGGTTGAAAGAAAGATTTGACCGAATTAGATCTGTTCCGGGCTTCTTGTTGCCGAGATACTTTGCGTTGGTTGTGCAAACGGCATATACCGCTGCTGTTGATAGGGCTACAAGTTTTTTCACTGAGGATATCCAGGAGGGGACGGCATTCTTGAAGGGGTTGTCACTCGTATCGTTGCAAATGACTGGGTCTGTTTCAACCCTTCTCCCTATTGAATTTAACCATTCTGACATTGCCGTGTAGTCTCATGAATTCTACTTCTCTATGGCCTGGTAAGAAGGTTGCTTGCATGGCCGCCGGGCTACCACATTTTTCATATGATTACATGCGTTGCTGGGGACGGGATGTTTTCATATCCATCCGTGGTCTCTTTCTGGCAACTGGGAGGTATGAAGACGCGAAGGAGCACATTCTGGCTTTCGGATCGGTTCTCAAGCATGGAATGATTCCCAACCTCCTAGATGGTGGGAGGAAACCTAGGTACAACGCTCGCGATAGCATATGGTTCTATCTTCAGGCTGTTCAAGATTACACCAAAATTGTTCCCAACGGAATTGAGCTGCTGCAGGAGAGGGTCAAACGCCGATTCCTCCCGTTCGACGATACCTGGTTCAATTATGATGACCCGCGGGCGTATACCCGGGAGAGCACTATTGCTGAGATCATCCACGAGGCGCTGGAGAGACACGCCTTGGGTTTTGAGTTCCTGGAAGCGAATGCCGGGCCGGGTTTGGATAGTCAAATGAAATGGGAAGGTTTTACCGTTAGTGTCAAACCGGATTGGACGACTGGAATAATCAAAGGGGGAAGCCAATTCAACTGCGGAACGTGGATGGACAAGATGGGGGAGAGCGAGAGGGCCGGCAATAAAGGAGTTCCAGGTATGTCAGAGATTCCGAGAGATTCGGAGTAGGGGCTGATAGTGGCAAACAGGAACCCCTCGTGACGGAGCGGCGATTGAAATCACGGGGCTATTGTATAGCACACTGAAGTGGGTAACAGAGTTGGGGAAGAAGGGGCTATACGAATGGGATAGTGTGAAGACTAGCGAAGGAAGGGTCGTTACCTTTGCCGTGTGGGCAGACCTGCTTAAGAAGAACTTTGAAAAGCTCTACTTTGTCCCAGAAGATCCGGCGGAAGATTCCAAATATTCTATTAAGCCTGAACTCGTCGAGAGGCGTGGGATCTATAAGGATCTCTACGGCGGAGGGAAAGAGTATGAGGACTACCAATTGAGACCCAACTTTGCGGTTGCAATGACGGTAGCGCCGGACCTCTTTGTGCCCCAACATGCGATTGGATGTCTTGAGATAGCCGATGAGGTTCTCCGAGGGCCAACTGGGATGGCTACACTTGAGTACGCTCCTAGCTGCCCAATCTTGACTTCATCACCGACTAACAAAGAAGCAGCCCCATAAACAAAGACTATCGCCCCTATTACCGCAACAGTGAGGACAGCGATGATTTCGCTACCTCTAAGGGTCGTAACTACCACCAGGGCCCAGAGTGGTTGTGGCCAACGGGTTTCTACCTTAGGGCATTTCTCACCTTCAACCCGCCCAACATCGAAACGCTCCAGCAGATCAACCTCCGCATGGACGGATGCCGCAAGGCTATCAACGAGAGCCCTTGGGCTGGCCTGACGGAGTTAACGAACAAAAATGGTGAGGTCTGTTATGACTCTAGTCCTACACAAGCCTGGAGTGCTAGCTGCCTCATTGACTTATACTACGACGCCGCGAAGATAAAGTTGTAGTTTGGGGGGGGGGCTGGCAGATAGATTGTTTCTGGTATTTTAATTGTTATGTCTTTTCACTAGCTTAGCTTAATCTAAAGTCTATCATACCTTTTTTTCCCGAGTGAAGCCTTGTAGATGTAGTGTGAGGATGATGATTTATACCGTAGCCAACTGTGTGCAAGACATAAGGCATAAAAGAAATGTGAGTGCGATCTCCCTCGGTTAGAGTACACTTGCTTTCGTGATGAGTTCTTTTCGGGAGAGTATTTTTATCTTCTGAAATAGGGCTGGAGGAACGGAAACACGTCTATACGAGTAATGCTTGGATCAAGAGGTTCGGGTACTGTACTTGTACAAGGCTGGGCAGTGTGCTACGGTTTCAGATATTTAAAAAGTGGACCAAGTTGCCATGGTCGGTATGATGGACCCACGATAGGCTATCGTACAGCAGTGAAGTCGACTCTGGTTCGGGAAGATTTGGAGAGAATACACATAACGCCGTCTCTCTAAAC